ACATTTAGAAACATTCAGAAACATTCAGAAACATTTAGAAACATTCAGAAACATTTAGAAACATTTAGAAACATTTAGAAACATTCAGAAACATTTAGAAACATTTAGAAACATTAAGAAACATTTAGAAACATTCAGAAAGAAACATTTAGAAACATTAAGACACATTTAGAAACATTTAGAAACATTTAGAAAGAAACATTTAGAAACATTTAGGAACATTCAGGAACATTTAGAAACATTTAGAAACATTTAGAAACATTCAGTAAGAAACATTTAGAAACATTTAGAAAGAAACATTTAGAAACATTTAGAAACATTCAGGAACATTTAGAAACATTCAGAAACATTCAGAAACATTTAGAAACATTCAGAAACATTCAGAAAGAAACATTTAGAAACATTCTGAAACGTTCAGAAACATTTAGAAACATTTTGAAAGAAACAATTAGAAACATAAAGCAACATTCACTAACATTCAGAAGCATTAAGACACATTAAGCAACATTCAGAAGCATTTAGAAACATTCACTAACATTCAGAAACATTTAGAAACATTTAGAAACATTTAGAAACATTCAGAAGCTTCTTATCTCATCAGTCAGACTCTGGGTTCTGATAGAAAACAACATAAATGAAGACTCTATAATTATCCACACAAACACAGATTCACCTGCAATGATCTGGCTCCACTTCACATCTCACAACTCTGGAACATCAGAGACTCAGAGGTTTATTTGAAACTCAGACCACTGGCTCTGGTTTTATTGTGGAGGCTCAGAGCAGCTCCTGGTGAACGAGGGAGACACTCGTGAAGGAGAAGAGACAGAGCTGAGCAGCAGAGCACAAACGGCCGGTCGCTTTGAGTTTAGTTTCTCTGTTTGTGCTCTGACAAATAAAGATGCTGAGAGCGACTGGTTAGCCTGTGGCTGCTGTGACCACAGATTTAATTTGTGAAGCACCTTGTGACTCTGGGTTTTAAATGCTCTATAGAAATAAACTTTATTCTTATAGTTTAACAAAAGAATAAACTTTATTCTGTTCGACTTCACCACCAACACACTGTCAACAAAGATGGCCGACGTGGCAGCGTCCATAAAGTGAAGCCAGAGCATCTGTAGTTAAATCAGTGACCCTGCCTCCTCCACGTTGGCAGATGGGACATGGACGAAAAGTACATTCACATTCTCTTAAAAGATGGTTTCTGTTATTTAAGTTTGAGGTTTTATCAGACTGATGCATGCTCCAGTAAGTTTGGTATTAATTAGTGATTTGATGCTATACGTAGATGATTGACAGGCGATTGGTCGAGTCACTGTACCGCACAGACTCCAAATGCAGAAGACGCCAGTGTTTGGATCCAGGATGTTCTGGATTCATCTGCGGATGGTGGGAGGAGGTGGAGATGTGTCGTCCATCTTTATTTACAGCTCACCCCCCCCCCCTCTCAGCTGCACTTACTTTCTGTGGACTCTCTAAAAAGCCACTTCACACAAGCTGCCTGGCACCAAACTACACACACACACACACACACACACACACACACACACACACACACACACACACACACACACACACACACACACACACACACACACACACACAGCCAGAGAGTAGCTGGTGAACATGGTGGAGCACTTAGCGGCTACAGAGCCGGACGTTCCCCTCAGGAGCCGGTGGAGATCAGACACAGCTGAGAGACGGAGAACATTGAGCACGAAGCTGCAGACGGGTGAAGAAATAAATGAGACCACACCAAAAGGACGGACGAGTCTTTTTCTTGTGCATCTGTGTGTTTTTTGTTTTTATTGCAATAATACATCTGCATGTTGACAAATATATTTACACGCACGTACGTCGACAATGGTCAGAACGAAACAGGAAAACTGTGGATGATCACTGAACACGTGACATGAGGAAGAAATTAACCATCAACCGTCAAAACCTGGATTCAGATGCACACACACACACACGTGCACACACACACACGCACACACACATGCAGCATTTAGTTCCTCACACATGCACACGAGTGAACACGAGCTCCAGTCCCCACAGATGAGATAAGTAGTAAAGGGTTTTTTTTTTTTGAGTCGAAGTTAAAAGTGCAGTTTTTTTAAATTCGATTTGTAGTTTTTTTTTTTTGTTAACACTGATGATGCCGCAGCTACACTGTACTGTACGCAACGCACACAGACAGACCAACTACCCAACAATCACTTTCACTACCACAGCCAACATCTCCGGAGCGACGGGGAAGAAGAATCATATACTGATAAAGTACCAAATAGACTTAAAACCTCATTTATATCGTTTTTAGATATACCTTTTGTCTATATATACTATTTACAGAACGTGGACATACTGTATATTTAAAGGGAGTACATTTACACATGGACAGCGTCTTTTTACAGCCACTACACTTTCACTAAAAGCCTCTCGTATAGTCGTAGTATTCTGATGGCTTCAGGACTTGGATGTGTTGTTTATACTGCTCTCGTGTGTGAGGATACATGTGCTACAGTACTGACAACGACTACCTTTAGCTAAACAAGAGATACGCAACAAATACATCGAATACTACAGATTAAAACACACAACTCTTCTTAATGCATGATGCACAAAACAGCACTTTTTACAATCATCTATTGCAACGTCTTTACAGATGACAGGTTTATACCAGTGTGTGACCTCCAGGGGTCTGCTGGGGATATTGTCAGCGATTGAAGACGAAGATGAGGAAGAGGAGGACACGGATGCGGGGGGGGGGGGGGTGGAAACATGCTGAGACAAAGAGGACTGCTGTGTTCCTCTCACAGACTTGGAGTGTATTCAGATGGACAGATCAGTGGGTGAATAGAATGGAGGAAGATCTCTTCTCCTCCTCCTCCTCCTCTTCCTCGTTTAGTCCCATGGATTGGTTTGTTGATGGCAAGACGCTCGTTTCATTCTCCTACTCGTAGAAACTGCGTCCACTAGAAAGAGGACAGACGTTGCTTCAGAAACAGGTGAAGCAAACTACAGCATTTAAATAAATACACCACGTTAATACAAAGAATCGTTCAAATTAAGATGGAGGAGAATCGAACATCCGGTCAGTGCAGGGCAGTGACAGATAAATAAAAACCACTTGATGATGATGAAGGACGATGGTGACTTTAGGTTTAAATAATGGAATAAATACAAAACTTCAAAATGAAATGTAAACGTCAGTTCTGCTTGTTAGATGATCACGTGTGTGTGATGCGTAAACTGTGCTGGATGAATTTTACATTTAAAATATTCTAATTACACTAAAACACAACACGTGGTGATGTGGAGCTGTTACAATCACAATCCTACAGTTCAGGGGAAACTGTAAATCTACTGGCTGCAGCTACAGACTGTGTTCTTCTAAAGCGTCACACACACTGTGCGAGTTCAGCGGGTTCTGAGTCTCATTTTTCAGTCGGACAGATTTTCAGCTCTGTCACGCGTTAATTGTCGTGCAGCGAGCAGGAGGATCGGATGCTACCGACCGCTTGTCGGGCGGTCGGATGAATTTCTCTCTCGTGCAGCTGAGGCGGAGTCACGAGTGGATTCCCTCAAACTCAGAACATTTCCCCTCACTGTGTCGGCTTTACTTTGTTTGTTACTGAACCTAAATCCTGGTTGGCTCCTTTCTGCACTTCTTCTTTTTTGAATTACAGTTTAACAAGTTTTTATTTTCATCTATATTCTGTGTAAAGCTGCATTTCTGGTGTGAAAGGTGTTTAACAAATAAAGTTCATTATCATAAAATGACACTTATGATCGAAGCTGCACGTTTCTCGATGAAGACGAATGAACTTTTAAAAAAATGAGGCTGAATCACACGTCTGAGGTCGCACAGTGCATGAGCAGCTTTAACCTTCAGGCTCGGTGCTGTGTTGTTGACCTTACCGGTGCACGGTGAAATCGACGGACACGTTAAATTCTGATTTGATCTCCTTCATTCAACCTGGTGATGGTAAAATAAAAGCGTTGAGGTCAGAAGTTCAACGAGAAGAGTTCAGAGACTGAGAATGAAAACACACGAGCAGGGCCTTCAAAATCAATGTGTTTCCTTCTGTGTCATTACTGAGCCTCGTTCCTCATTCATTCTGTCAACGATGATATACTAACATGTAAAGGTCTAAAAACAGAAGCTGGCAGGATGAAGGGATGAAGAGATGAAACATAAAAAGGGAAAATGATGAGAACAACAGAAAAGGGCTTTTTAAAACGATGCAGCGGAAGTGAAATGATGAGCTGGTGCAGAGTGGTTGTACTCACGCCCCCTCGTCTCTGAGCAGAGACACGAACTTGGTCACTCTGTAATCCTGGTCCATCTGGAAAGAGAGACAGAGGAGGGGGGGGGGGGGATCGAACAGTTTGTCAAGAGCACAAACGAACAGTGGGCAGTCACATCAGAAACCTCCCTGCAACTCGAGCTGGAGC